GAGAGAGGTTACTATTGGCATAAATTGCATGTAGGGTGAAAACTTGAAAAAAATTAGAGGTGAAGTAAGGACTCAAAAGCCTTTTTCTCTTTGTCTCTGTTCTTCCTTTCAGGAAGAGTAAGAGACAAAACTATGGCGAGCAAAAGAAAAGATAAACAAAATTACATCATGCACAGTGTTCATATTTTTGAAAATGTCCAAAGTTTACTTATGACCTACCCAGCACAGTTAACTCATTATCCATGTTCCTTTGTGTTGATGGCTTTATTTTTTACATATGACTAGTAATTACAGTGTTAATTAAAGGACCAATAACTAGTTTTTCTTGAGCTTTTCACTGATATAATGGGAATAATTTATTTTGAGCACAAATAATAAAATTGCTTTAGCACAAAGGTGAAAATTAGGAGCACTATAAATTTTACTTGATGTTGCTTTGTCAGTGGACAAACTTTTCAGCAGACAATTTTGTACTGTCCTGTTCAAGTTCTATAGCAATCCCACTGAAGTTTCAGGATGTGTTTCTCATTGCACTTACTAGGTACCATCATGAAATTTTAAAGAGGAAACACTATCAGAATAGACAGTAGATGAAGAGGAATAACATTATCAGTTGTTAGAGTCTAAAGTTCTTTAAAGGTCATTGAGCCTGTTTCCTTCCCTTCATACTTGAAGGTATTTCAGCCTGTGGAGGTGCAGCTCATTCAAAATCATGTAGCTGGGTAAAGGTGGATCCAAGCCTAGATACCAGTCTCTTAATTATGTATCCAGTTCTCTTTCTTGTTAAGGAAAAAATCTATTTAATTTTAAAAACACTAAGAAGATCACCAAAAATATCAGTACGGGACTACCCCCCTACTTTTCATTCCTTACAAGAAAAGTTTTGATTTGTCCAGAAGCAGATGACCTTCTTCACCTGTTATTTGAATTCCAATATACTTTACCCTTGTTTTTTCTTCACTCTTCTTATATTTTCATTGTGTTTCTATTAACCTAGGAACCTACAATTACGGTAGGTCAGAATGTGACTCACTCTCAAAAAACATACAAGACAGATACGGCAGAGACATAATTTCATTAGTGGAAAGTGAAGAAGTACATACTGAAGTTCAGCTTGAAAATTGTTCAAGAGAGAGAAATGCCCACATTCACTCCTCATCCTATTTGTTCATTAATTTTGGGATAATTACATTCATTTTGCACATCCAGATATATTTTCATGAGAAACATAGTAAAGTTTCATAAGTATTAAATGTACCATTAAATATATTTTTAAATTTAAATTATAATATGTTCTGATTTGTTTTTTCTATTTAAATAAATCCCTTTCATGTAGAAATATACATCCAATTGCCCTTCCTTCTTCCCTATTGAGGAACTGAATGTGTGTGTGTTTAATAAAAAGAAGTACTGATTAAGTAGAGGAAAATTTTAAATTCAAGTTAAAATTCAGTCTTGAAACACAAACTATTCTTTGTCTATATTATTGTTCACTTTTAATGTCCTTCCATGATCCATTTCTCTTGACAAGGCAGTAACATAAAAGCATTCCAATTATCTATAATAGAAAATGCAATTTCATTCCCAAAGAACAAATAAAGCAAGATACTAAAAGGTGGCAGGAATAAAACTGACCCAATCAATTATTAAATAGTTAAAGAAATGTGGCCTTCAGAGCTATGGTTAGATAATTGTAGATGGTTCAAAGTTATGGAATCACATTCTGTTTCAGTATATGTATTGGTCAACTCGGACTGCCATAATAAAGCACCACAGACTTGGGTGGCTAAAACAACAGAAATTTATTTCTCATAGTTCTGGAACCTGGAAATCTAAGATTAAGGTATGAGCAAGATTGTTTTTTGTGATGCCTCTGTGCTTGCCTCCAGAAAGTCACCTTCTTGCTATGTCCTCACATGGCCTTTTCTCTGTATGTGACACTCCTCGTGTCTCTTCCTCTTCTTATAAGGAGAGCAGTCCTATTGGATCAGGGCCAACCTTTATGACCTCATTTAACCTTAATTACCTACTTAAAGGCCATATCTCCAAATAGTCATATGGGGGTTAAGGCTTAACGTATAAATCTGGGAGAGACACAATGGAGTCCATAACAGTATGAACTTCAAAAACCATTATAAAGTATTGTATACTATGGATCAATAGCAGTGATTACAATTTGCATTTGGAGCCAGTAACCTTGAACTATCCATATGCCATGTTATTTTTATTATCCATCCTCCCATCTATTTTAATGGCTATATCTCTGTCCAGGATTGCCATGGCATTCTGGGTATATGAATAGTATAATGTGAAGCAATCTGAACTGTTCTTTTTAAAATATTTTTAAATATTTCTTTATTTATTTATTTTATTTTTATGGCTGTGTCGGGTCTTAGTTGTGGCACACGGGATCGTCCTTGAGGCATGTGGGATCTTTCGTTGCAGTGCACAGGCTTCTCTCTAGTTATGGTGTGCAGGCTCCAGAGCACGTGGGCTCTCTAGTTTAGGTGCAGGAGCTCAGTAGTTGTGGTGCGCGGCATCAGTTGCCCCACGGCATATGGGATCTTAGTTCCCTGACAAGGAATAGAGCCCGTGTCCCCTGCATTGGAAAGTGGATTCTTTACCACTGGACCACCAGGGAAGTCCCCTGAACTGTTCTTATTGTCTAACTGATATGCAGATAATAACATTAGTATCTAAAATTAAGAACTCACTACATGCCAAGCAACCTAATTTATTTATATTTATTATCTTATTTAATCCTCCTAACAAGTCCATTAATTCTATGAAGTAGAATTATTTTCAGTAATTTACATAAGAAAACATAATACTTAGAGAAGTTAAATCCTTTGTCAAAAGTACCACCTCTGCCTCCCTAAGGCCTATGCACCTGTTAGAGTCTGCCCAAACCCTAATTCTTTGCTTAAGCCCTCAACCCCTATTTAATTGATAAAGACCCAAAATGTAAAGCTCAGTTTCTTTAGGATCAGCTACTTACTTGTTGTTAAAGCCATCATAAGTCAAGCATTGCAGTTTAAATTCTCTTGCCCAGACGCAGCAATTAAAAGTCGAATATGCATGGTGTGACATATTCCTCTACAAGCATTAATAGTGCTCTCCCCATCCACTAAAATTTAAAAGCCAAGCCACAGGCCCTGGACAAGTGGACTCCTCAAGTACTACATGTGTTCTTCTTCCCCAAATGTGATTTTTATCCCCTAAAACTACAGATCTCCCCTATTTTGCAGGTTTAGGGCCTAGAACCATAAACCAGATGGCATGGAGGTCACTCCATGAGCAAGTTCATTCTTACTGGGAGGAAGTGAGAGGGAGGGGCAGGGCCAAACCTTCTCTGTTTTTCCTTCCAAATTCACCAATCAATTGATACTCCTACCTCCCCTAGAGTGAAGTATGTGAGAAGCAGAAAGAAACCAGTAGTGCTCACATCAAGGCATTTACTCTTCAAAATCCTGCCTCAATAGTAATGATAATTTACAGACTAATTTATATAACTGCTGAAATTTGATTTAACCAGAATTATGAAGAAATTCCATTAGAGAGATGCAGAAGCGGATATGTCATTGTGTGTGTGTGTGTGTGTGTGTGTGTGTGTGTGTGTGTGTGTGCAATTTCAGGTCAGGTCACACAAGAGAATTGCATCCTCATCTGCCATAAATGGATATAGGATGATATTGAAAATAGAAAACTCAATTTTAAGCATATTTTATATATATGAAAGGAAACAGAAGAAATAGCTGAAGAGTTCAAAGTAGTTGCTTCAAAGTAGCATAACTCAGGGGTGGGGCAAAGTAGTTGCTAGGAAAATATCTTTTTTATTTTTTAAGATTTGTAGTATTATTTGACCCAAATATATATATATAGGTTTGATATAAATTTTAAATGCCATGGAACAATAACAAAAGAAATATCAAATCTTTGTCTGTTATTCTAATGCCTAATTTAGCCAAGAAAACAAAAGAAAAGGGAAGAAGGAAGGAAATAAAGTAATTCAAAAACAACTAGTTCTGGTAGCAGGTAGAAACTTATGGTCCAGATTAAGACAATGACATTGCATCTCTGTAGGTGCTTTTTTATAAGGAAAAAACAGAAAATGTTGCAGCATAAATATTTTCAAAATGCATTTTTAGAGATCCATGCCAGCTCTCAAGTTCTCTAGAGTTGCACTGTCCAATATGGTAACCATTAGCTACATGTAGCTATTTAAAATTAAATTTAAAATAATAAAATTTAAATAAAATTTTAAATTCTATCCCTCACATTAGCCACATTTCATATGCTCCAAAGCCACATATGGCTTATGGCAATCTTTTTAGATAGCAGAAATAAACATTTCCATTATTGCATAAATTTCTATTTGGAAGCACTGCTCTAGGCCTTGCTGTTTATACACTGAATTTGCACAAGACTATACCCTGAAACCCACTATCCTGAAGAGAAATAAACAAACCTGCCAAGGTATCAATGTCTTTATAAAACCAAATATTTTTAATGTCATTTAGAAACAAGTCTGATATTCTAGCCCTGAACTGGGACTACTTCATTCAGATTCTACAGACATTTGTTAAGCACTAATTGTGTGCCAGGCAGTGTGCTGGATACCAAGAAAACAATGTTACTCAAGATGCTCAAAATCCAGACGTAACATCAGCAAAATGATGGAATAGGAAGCCCCAGACCTCAGTGCACTACAGAAACATCAACATACAGCCCCAAAAGCTTCTATGAGAACTCCAGATATCAGTTAGGAAGATGCAGCACCCAGGCAAGCTCAAATCCAAGAACAGCCTCAATGAAACAGGTAAGAAAATTCCAACCATGCTCCCAAAGCAAGCACGTTTGCAATTGGGAGGAAAAGTCCAATTGCAGCTTCTCCTTTGGGAAGGAAAGAGAAAGGGAGAATGTACATTCAAAGCTCTATATTGTGGGGGGACTACTTTCTGTCTCACCTGACTCGGGGCACTGACAGGGAACTGGCATACCTTGAGTGTTGGGGGGCTGCAGAGAACAAAAGAGAATTCAGCAGATTGTGGCAGCACTAGAGAAGTGGTAAAACTGCAGACAAAACAGCCACCATTCACCATGATCAGGAGTAAGCACCCACTTTGTGTCTTCCCCCTAGAGAGAGAAAAAAAAGAGTAGAGCATAAGTCCAATGTTCTCGCTTTTGCGGGTGCAGTCTGAGAGACTGGTTTCTGTCTCATAGGATGTGGAGCGCTGACAGAACAGTTATACTTTGGACACTTGGTGGGTGCACAGAGCTTGGTGGCTTCAGGCAGAGCCAGAGAAAAGCAGCAAACCTTTCTAATTGGGAAATCACATACACAAGCCCAGAGAAGGTACATGCTCAGAAAAAGTTGGAAAGACCCCCAAAAATCTGTAGCTGGGTTGATGGGTAAAAGTCTTTCCTTGAATGAAGCCAGTCTATAAGACTGGGAGAGGTGTCTATTTTTTTCAACTGTGTGAATCCCAACACAAAGTTACAAGGCACATGAAGAAACAGGGAAATATGGCCCAATCAAAGGAATAAAATACATCTCCAGAAACTGACCCTAAAGAAAGTAGCACAGTATTGTTAACTATGTTCACATTGTTGTAAAGCAGATCTCTAGAACTTATTCACCTTCATTAAATGAATCTTTATACCCATTGATCAACTCCCAATTTTCTCCTCTCCCCAGCCCCGGGCAACCAACATTCTACTTTTTGTTTCTAAGAGATTGATCACTTTATTGATTTCATATAAGGTATCTAAAGTTAGATTTCAGGTTATATGTTTTTTACCACAATAAAAAAAAGGAATTAAAAAAAAAAGATGCTCAGGATCCATCTGGGCTTTGAATAATTAAATAAGGCTATACACTACTGTTCAAAACAATGTGATAAGAGCTATTATAGGACAGTATAGAGTGATAAGGGAGAATAGAAGAGAAGCACTTAGCTAACGTCTAAGGCTGTCAGGATCATCCGGAAAGGCCTTCCAGAAGAACTGGTATCAAGGCTAGGGATAAAGAACTAGTGGCACTTTCCACACAAACATGCAAGTTTAGAAGATGAGGTAGTATTTATTTCAGTCAAAAGGAAGAGGATGTAAGAAAGGTTAAGGGCAACAGAAAGCATGTTTTAATTTGTAGTGGGGAAGTATGGGGTAGAGGAAATGGTGAAGTGATAAGGAGAGAATGAAGAGAAAAATCTTAGTAAGAAGTTGTAATCTGGGACTGTATCACGTAGGGACTAGTAAAATATTTAAAGAGTATGGTCTCGCAAGCATTCATCTAATAGACTGTAATTTTCGTATTTGTTTTAGTCACACCCTGAACAATACTCTCCACATCATATACAGTATGTTGAATGTATTAAATATTCAATAAGTATGCACCAAAAGACAATAAAGTAATGTAAATATATGCTTGGATTTGCATTTTAGAAAGTTCTACTTACATTTGGAAAAAGGGATTGTAACAAGCTATCATAATATTAGTTCTGAACAGTCTCTGTACTTGCATCTGAAAAGAACAACCATAATGCCATATATATTATGAAGCATACTATATACCTGTTAAGGCTAATGTATATATCTATGACTATAGCTAAATGTCTGCATGCATGTGTGTGTATAAAATATGTTTATGATGTTAGCATAATAGTATTTTAATGATGCATTTATATATTTCTCCTCTGTTGACAGTTTTATTCTCACTTCCAAAATTTGTATAACACTCATATATAAGGCTATTAGAGAGTTGGGGCCAAGAGAGTAAACATATGCACCCTCAGCACATTCTTAGTTACTTCTTGCATAAAAAGTTTAGGTGTTAATGGTATATCAAGAAGGCAGAGTTATCAGTTAAATGAAATATCTATTAGCCTGGGAACAGAAGTTCCAACAAAGGCACAGACTGCATTAACAGTTGGATGGGCATTATCCATGATACGTTTGTCCTTGGTGTTCAAAGATAATAGCTAGTGGATGGTTTTCTCTCAATATGTGAACATATATGGAAAACCACAAGTGTGTGACCAGCTGCTCACAGGTGAAAGCTCTATTGAGCCCTTCATTTTTGGCAGCTCAACCCCTTTGACTCATGCCCTACATATGCCATGGATTGGGAAAATGTACAGAATCCGCTATTGTTTTACACCAATTCAATCAACTTGTTGCTGTTTCCCACTACTGCACAGCTGTATCAAAGGGTTTGCATGCTGCCTCAGGGGTCACAACTATAAGCTCTATAGCAGATGACTTTTAGGTACAGCGTCAATTGTGACTTTCAGAAAAACTGTTTGAGAGCCACAGCATACATGACTGGAAGGGATGACAAGTTTTAAGTAAAGCCTTTAAATTTATAAATAAGAAAACATAAGTTTATAGAATTTAAATTGATAGGCAATAATGCTACATTCGTTAGTTACACAGTTGAGGCTGGTGCTCTTTCCAATATATAATGTTGTTATTAAAGTAGTCCATTGACAAAAGCATTCTTCCTTTCCTTTCCTTTTCTTTTTTCTTCCTTTATTCTTTCTTTCCTTTTTTTCTTCGCCCTTCCTTTCTTCCTTCTTTCCTTCCATCCCTCCTTCCTTCCTTCTTGCCTTTTACTTAGGTAACCACTCATTTGCTAATTCACTTATTCACATTTTTTTTTTGCCAAGCACCTAGTGTGTTCTAAGATCAATGCTAATTGCTAAAGCATAAAAAATATAAGCTATAACCACAGCTATAAAAATACTAGCTAAGGCTTCAGGAATAAGAGAGTATAGACTCACTTTTCCCTGTTCCTTCTAAGTATAATTATATACCCTGGAAATTATTTCATAGACAACAGTAAGAGAAATCTGAAATCTGAAAAAAGAATGTGTACTGGCTAGAGAGTGCAAGATTTGAAGAATAACAACATGGCAAGTTACCTGGGTTTTCTTTTCATCTCCCATATACCTTGGACTGGGCAATGGAGAGGACTGCCACAAGAAATGACCAACAGGCATAAAAGGCAAAAAGAGAGGAAGAAAGAAAGATCAATAGCAAGACAGAATAAGAAAGAAGAGAGGGAGGAAGAAAGAAAAAACAGATCTGCTCTTTCTAACCAAAGGACTGGGAAAGTAGAAACTTAACAGAGACCTGATGGGGAACCCCAAGCACTTCTCCACAAAGAGGGCCTCTATTGATGATCCAATTCACCAACAGCAGTGGCAACAGCAAAGCCTCAGCCACCCCGGCCCCTGCTCCATACCTTAGGTCAGGTGAGTGCTGTGATATCCCAGCAGCAGCAGAAACAAACTCCTAGCTCTCTTATCACCCAATCCAGAACCAGGGCCCAGAGAGTGGTCCCATCCTCTCATATCTACTGCAATAGCAAAGCCCTGTGACTTCCTGGCTTCTACCCAGTGGTATAAGGGGACTAGGTCCAGTGGATTCTTGCCTCATCCAGAATATTTCTCAGTGCCCCCACAGATGGCTCCAATAGGGCTAAAGCAGGAGTCCCAGGAGCACCAGAAAACAAAGAAGAAAAAATAACATTGCAAGGGCTCAGAAACTAAATATTCATAGGAATTAAAGTCAGAGAAGTAGACTATAACTTATACACTAAACTTAAACAGAACAACTGCCTGCTAAAATAGAATACTTAGGAAAAAGAGTCCCCCAACAAAATAAATGTCCAGGATACAACTGAAAAAAACCATTCATTATACCAAGAAACTGGAGAACCAGAATTTAATGAGAAAAGATAATCAAGGAATGCCAATATGGAGATTAATCTTATACTGAAATTATCTGACAAGATTTTAAAAGCAACTGCCTTAAAAATCCTTTAAATCAATTACAAATTCTCACAAAATACACGAAAAAAGAAAATTTCAGCACAGAAATAGAAGTTACATAAAATAACTAAAGGGAAATTTTAGAATTGAAAACTACAATAACTGAATTTTAAAAAAAAAAACTCACTAGTTGTACTCAATAGAGTGTCAATGAAAAGGACAGAATCACTGAACTTGAAGACAGACCAACAGAACAGAAGTTTCTGTAGAAAAATTTAAAAGAGCAAAAATTCATATTATCAGAATACAGAAGGAGAGAAAGAATGTGGTACTGGAAAAGGATTTGAAGAAACAATGCCTGAACACTTGCCAAACTTGGCAAAAGAAACAAATCTACACACTCAAACATGTGAGAACCTCAAACAACCCCAAAGAAATCCACACCAAGACATAACAAAATTACAATTCTAAATATTAAATAAAAAGAAAAAAATCTTAAAAATAACCAGAGGAAAAGAATGTATTACCTATAAATGAACAGCAATTTAAATTACAATGGATTTCCTATCTGAAACCATGAAGGCCAGAAGGAAGTGGCACATTTTTTTTAGGTGGTGAAAGAACTGTCAATTCTAAAAAGGAACCAGAAATTCTATAACCAGTGATGAAATTATCCATCAGGAATAGAGGAAATAAAGACATTCTCAGTCAAAGGAACACTAAAATAATTTGTGCTAGCAAATCTACCCTTAAATAATGACTAAAGAAAGCTCTCTCAACACAAAGAAAGTGATAACAGAAGACAGGGATCTTTAGAAAGGAAAGAAGAACAATGAACTGGATAGTAAATATAATAGACTATTCTTCATCACATGAGCTTCGTTTAGCAAATATTTTGATTAAAATAAAAGTTATAACTATCTGATGTGGTGCTAAATGTATTAGAAAATTATATTTTTAAAATGGAGAGGGTAAAGGGACCTAAAGAGAAGCAAATGTTCTACACTTCTAAGTTGTAAAACATTGACACAGGGCTTCCCTGGTGGCACAGTGGTTGAGAGTCCACCTGCCGATGCAGGGGACACAGGCTCGTGACTCGGTCCGGGAAGATTCCACATGCCGCGGAGCGGCTGGGTCCGCGAGTCATGGCCGCTGAGCCTGCGCATCCAGAGCCTGTGCTCCACAACGGGAGAGGCCACAACAGTGAGGGGCCCGCGTACCACAAAAAAACAAACAAACAACAAAAAAAACACATTGACACAATAGCTTGTGATAAGTTATATATGTATACAGCAATACCTATGACAACCACGCAGAAAATTATACAAGTGGATATACTCAAGCCATCGTAAATAAATAAAA